GGCCGCCGAAGAAATGACGTCTGATCAACTCGATGCTATGGCAGGCGGAGATCTGTTAAAAAATGAGGTAAACTGTAGCATCGCATAAATTTGCAGTGTCGTAATTTTGACGTACACAAATTAACATAAAAACTTCTTCTCTTAAGGCCGGTTACTTTAGTCAAGTCCGCAACACAAAGAAATCTTCACAGCGTTTGAAGGAAACTCTCGCCGAGCAAGACCTCGCAGTTACTCTGTGCCTGTTAATGGCGCAACAGAAACATTGCGTTGTTTACAGAGAGACGGATAAATCTCATTTAAAACTCGTTGGTAAATAGAATTATATGAAAAGCAAGACAAAAATTTAAAGATAAAAATTATCTTTTTTCTGATAGATATCATTTGCTATTTTTTTTTTTGTATAATAGGCAAGTTGTACGATCAATGCCAGGATACGCTCGTGCAATTTGGGACTTTCTTGGGTTCGACTATGACAGTAGACGAGTATGTGGAGCGACTACCGTCGATCCATTCTATGCTTCAGGACAATCACATACATGCAGACGTCGCATTTTTTTTGGCACGGCCAATGTTTGCGCATGCCATAAATGTAAGCAAGTTATTTATATTTGTATTTGAATTTTCTTGATAATAACATTGATTAAATATATATCAGCCATTAATTTAGAATGAAAAGTTAAAAGATATTTAAATTTGCGTACAATTGTGTATAATTTGTTATCAAATAAAAATATAGATTTTTTAAATACAGATTTTTGTATTTTCTTAAATTAATTTTCTTAAAGATAAAATATGACGCTCTCCGTAAAGCTGATCCGAATTATAAGAAAATGTCCACGGCTATGAAGCAATTAAAATACGCGGAAGCTGCGCAAACCGTTATGGCACCTGTTGCTCAGTCTGTCAGACCGTTGCACCCTTTAAAAGTTTGGGAGGATATATCGCCGCAATTCTTAGTTACGTTTTGGTCTCTGTCGATGTATGATTTATACGTACCGGTGGAGAGCTATCAAAGAGAAGTCGGCAAGTTGAAGCAACTTGCAGTTCAAACTGTTGATTCCAAAGATATGGTACGCGAATATTATATTTTATTATTATTGATTACAGTACTCTATGATTGAAAAATAATTTATTTCACACTTGAAAATGTTATTCTTCCTTGATTTAAAGTAATGCTAATTTTTAGAATATAAGTAAAGGAAAGAAGGAACAAGAAAGATATACCACTCTTATTGAAAAGCTACAGGACGAAAAAAGGAAACAAGAAGAACATGTCGAAAAAGTTTTTGCATACCTGAGGTAAAATACTTCGTTATTTCTTATAATATACTATATACTATAATATACTATAAGATAGTTATAAGACAGTGCTGGAATTTATTTGCCGATCGACATTTAGACTGCGCGCGAATGGTGAGGACCAAGCTGAAAATCGACTGGAAGTTGTAAGTAAATTTTAGCACTGTCTTATAACATATAAGTATAACAAATATTATTGTTGTAATTGTATAATGTAGCAATTCAATTTATATATTGATCGTACGTTTATAACTGACTTATAGACAAGAAAAGGATACATGGTTTTTGTCACGAAGCGCTAAATCGGCGAAAAACGAAACGATAACACAGTTTCTACAGTTGTGCCTATTCCCGCGGTGTACATTTACAACTGTAGATGCCATGTACTGTGCGAAATTTGTACATCCCATCCACTCCCTGAAGACTGCAAATTTTTCAACTCTGCTTTGTTATGATCGTGTAAGGAAGTCCTTTCTAGTATTCTTGTTATTGTAGATAATTAAAGTGGCATATTAATTTATTATTTTTATTTGTCCAATTTTTTGTTCAAGTTTTATTTGTTGTGTAAAATAAATGTATAACTTGTTACACTTTATTATATTTTTATGATAAAATTGGTTTCTTTCAGCTTTTCTGTGATATTACATATTCAGTTACTTCATGCACAGAGAATGAAGCAAATCGATATGGCAGATTTTTATGCGCCATGCTGGAAACTGTGATGAGATGGCATTCCGAAAAAGCCATATTTGATAAAGTAAGTTACACTTTTGCACATTTCGAAATTTTTAGAGAAGAACGACTTTAGAAAAGATATTCACGCTTTTATTTTGTTATTTTGATACTCTAATCTGAATATGTATTAGTAAATATCTTCTGGTGTGTAGGAATGCAGTAATTATCCTGGTTTCGTGACCAAGTTTCGTGTAAGCAATCAATTTTCTGAAGCGAATGATATGGTCGGATTTGAAAATTATAGACATGTGTGTCACAAGTGGCACTATAAAATCACAAAGGTATTTACATGATCTCATGAACAATGTTCTGTATATTATATACGTATATACTGTATATTATATACGTATATTTGAATATATATAGATGTGCTATTTCACAATAGCAAGAATGAATCTTGTGATTGAATTAATTTTCTTTGATAGGCTATTGTAGTGTGTCTAGATTCGAAGGATTATGTGCAAATAAGGAATTCTTTAATAATATTGATCAAGATATTGCCTCATTTTCCTGTTTTGGCGAAACTCTCTCAGATCCTCGAACGTAAAGTAGAGAAAGTAAGAGAGGAAGAACGTGGTCAACGTCAAGATTTGCACGTCTTAGGCGCAGCGCGCCTGCTAAGTCATTCCCGCTCCTCGCGGCCCGCGCGCTGTGCGTTCGGTGGGCCGTACCTTCGACAATAGTAAGTCGAGCGGACGCTCGATCCCGGATCTCTTGCATTCCGTGCGAGCGTCCTGAGACTACCGAGACGCACGGAATGCAAGAGATCCGGATTCGACTCCCGGCCGAGGCAATATTTTTCGCAATAAGTTTATTACAGTTTTTTAAGATTAATTTGGGGAATTTGGGGGGATTATTAATATTTCAGATCAATTGCGTTAATGTCGACAACCATATCGGCACGTAATTATCATTTTTAAAATTAATTCATTTGTTTGAAAATATATATATTAGTTCAACATCTTAATACTTAGACCGTAGTGGCGCTTCGGATTCAAACTATAACTTTTATTTGAAACATTTTTTTGTATCGCTCTTTGGATGTGAACCCTAAAACATTTGTTTGAAACATTTCTTCTGAAAGTGCTCTCCTGAACATTTTAAATCGTTTCAGTCATCAATCGATCAACATCTTGGGTAATGTTAATGCTGGCGATAATGTAACCTTCAAGCCTTATAACTCGAAAAATACTTCATGAAAAAATATTTTATTATAGTATTTTGGAAAGCTCTCGAGATGTGTTACAAGAATATGCAATGAAAAAGGTGGAATCCCATATGAAATTTCGAAGTTAATTTTCAAATAACCTTGAAATATGCTTTTAAGGTCATTAACTTCTTCCTCTCTCAAAATCATACAACTTTCTTCTCTCTCTTTCTTTTTATTTTTTAATTTTTTTTTAATTTTTTTTTATTTTTTTGGAAAAATGCTTCCTTTTTGAGTTATTAACGTGAAAGATTAAAATGATCTACTCTGTATATTAGACTGACAAGAAAAAAATATTTTATATATAATTAATATACAATTATATGTAATATATATATATATAT